ATGGATGGATGGATGGATGGATGGATGGATGGATGGATGGATGGATGATAGGGATAGATGATAGATCGATTTGGATAGATGACAGATAGGTAGATAGGTAGGGAGAGAGAGATGGATAGATGATAGACAGAGACAGACAGACAAATATATACGGATAGATGATAGACAGACAGACAGACGATGTATGGACAGACAGAGCATTACAAACATGGTATGAAGAGAGTCATGCAAGTCTATGATAGCCAAAAGTCAGAAAGAGCCTTTTCCAATTAACAAATGTTATTAAATGGTTGGCTAAGGACGGCAATAAATCTTTCACGACACATGCTTTTTGAGCTACAGCTCACTTCTTTAATGCCGAGTTTTTAGGATATAAGGTCGGACCAAACAACAGAGACTATTTTACTGAACTTTTAACCATTGAGAAACTGGTAGACTTGGATCTGTGTCAGATTCTGGGTGCTCCCAAACTTCGTTAATTGACTTCATTCACCAAGAAGATCAAGACTCCGTTCTTCTACCAGCTTTTCATCAGGTTGCTTGGTCCAAAATATCCCTGTGAATTACTGATTCCCCACTCCCCCAATTCGTTCCTTCTCCACCGCTTGCTCAACGCATAAACATATTCTTCTTTTAAGTAGACATGGGGGTCAGTTGATTCCTGACTGTTTGGGAAAGGCCACAGGTGGGACATGGCCGGTTATAAAATACTAATTTGCCAGAATACTACCTGCCATTTCTTTAACCTCCCTTCTGGCACAGCCTTTCACATTTGGGCAGTCTTCCAAATAAATATCCAGTGAATTGTCACCCATCATTTTTAATTTCTATAAATGGCTCCGAGGTTAATTGGAGTTCAAATGGATTCTCAGAAATCAAGATGAAGCTGATGGCCATGCTTTAAAGCACGCCCGCCAACTTTCTCTTCCATCCTAAACAAAAAACAAAAAAACCCACCCAACCACCATTATTTTTTAAAATAGCAACAGCAGACTTATATACCGCTTTACAGCCCCCCTCTAAGTGGTTTACAGAGTCAGCCTCTTGCCCCCAACAATCTGGGTCCTCGTTTTACTGACCTTGGAAGGATGGAAGGCTGAGTCAACCTTCAGCTTGGTGAGATTCAAACTGCCAAATTGCAGGCAGCCAACAGGCAGCAGAAGTAGCCTGCAGTACTGCACGCTAACCACTGCACCACCGTGGCTCAAAATATTAAAGGTTGGCAGGGCAGGAGTCTGAGAAGGCACCAAGAAAGGAGTTGGGAACATGGATAAACAGCATGGAACGCAGTGGTGGGATTCAAAGATCTTTACTACCAGTTCTGTGGGCGTGGCGTGGTGGGCGTGGCATGGCATGGCATGGCATGGCATGGCTTGGTGGGTGTGGCAGGGGAAGGATACTGCAAAATCCCCATTCCCTCCCCACCCCACTAACCTGCTTTCCAGCTCCGTTCTCCTGTGCAGGGCAACCAAAGAAGACCCAGCCGATCAGCTGGAACTCAATGGGAGGCAGAGGATAGATGGGGTTGGCAGGGCCAATCAGAGGTGGGATTGGCTGGTTCTCCAAATTATTCAACATTTCCGCTACTGATTCTCCAGACCTGGTCAGAACCTGCTGAATATCCAAGG